TCTCTGAAATGAAAATATTTTACAGCAAAAACAGTTGTAAACAAAATATAATAAAAAGGAGCCCAGAGCCTTTCTCTGAAACTGCAGTACTCTCGGCTTGCCAACTATTATAGACTTGCATGGACTGTATTGGATATATTTGTTTGAGGTCTGTAGGACAAACTAGTTACAAGAATGAAGGGAATTTTACCTCCTGTGCTTGCTTATTATCAGAAATATTTGCTGTAGGAAGCAGATGCTGGTTTTATGAAGGCTTATGCTGCTTGTTAGATGACTCAGAATGTTCATTTTTTCTGATTAAGATGATAAATTATGATTGTGTATGAATTTTAGGACTTGAATTCAACATGCAAGTTAATAATATTTTAAAAACAACCAGCTGTGTATAGGATATTTGCCTTGGTGTGAACATGGCCAAAGAGAAGGTATTGAAAGATATTTTACTTGTCGTTTATACTCATTGTCATATCAAATGGTGTATTGCTTTATGGGTCAATAGTGGTTTTGATTAGGGTACATATGGATAATATGACTATTGGTGTGAGAGATCCACTGCCATAAATTTTGAAACAAATACAATTGATGTACATTTGCAAGTCACAGCTTGACCTGAGTGACCAACTGACCATGAATCCGTCTGAAGTAGTTACTCCATCAATTGAAAGACCCAAGTCCACCAAGTGTTAAGATGACCTGGAGATTAACACACAGATGCAAACTGCCCTTATCTTTGATGTCTCAGTCCACCTCAATATCCCAATGGTCTTATGGTCGTCCCAGACGTGATCATGAATATTTTATGGTCATCAGATACTGACCATGGGTCATGTTACTGTGACCTGCAACCTGCGTGTGGTACTGTCAATGCTGCTCTGTTGTCATATCATTAAATCAAGGTGTTGCCGGTAGAGCTGAGTGCGATGGAGGCTTGTTGAAGACTGGTAACAGGAAAACTGATCCTCCTCCTTTTCAACAGGCTTCTGTTTAGCCAGGAACACTAGTTGGGTTGAGTTGATCCAGTGGCTCATGGTCACCTTGCTGTTTTCTTAAGGTGTCACAGAGACACTCATTGTAAACTTGGTTTTTCAGAGTAGTTGCTGTTGTACTGGAAGTATTGGAATTCAGATGAATGTTGAGACCTTCAAGGAACAACAAAAACTTGTACAGAATCAATTTAGTGGGTTCCGAATTTGCGACCAAAGAACAATACTAAGTTTTATAAATGAGCTTTAATTGTAACAGGAGTGAGTGAGTGAGTGAGAGAGTGAGTGTGGCTTTAAGCTGCTTTTAGCAATATTCCAGCAAGATAACAAGGGACACCTGAAATTGGCTTCACACTTTGTACACATGTGGGGAATCAAACCCGGTTCTTTGTGGAGACGAAAGATTGCTTTGGCCACTTGGCTACCCCACCACCCCTATTGGTAAAAGATCTGAGGTGTAGCCTACAGTGCCAGGGGATTTATATCGCCTTCATTTATGATAAAGTTTTGGTTTTCATCAACATCAAGATAACCTAATTTTCTGAATTAAAAAAATATGGACCAATAATGGTATCTCTCTGACATGGGAGGAATGTGAGGTATGCTCGATATACAGGTTCCCACTAATGAGGTCTCTCTGGATACAGACGGAACACCTCCTGGAAACAATGTCACCTACGCAGCATGAATATAAATGACATACACACACAAACCGAGATTATGCTGATGTATTGTCGTGTATTCAGGCTAGTAACTGCTGTACATGTGCTGTGTCTAGAATGTGTGACCCGTTTTCAAGCATTGTGTCTCATTTCGGAACAAATAATTGGCCTGTCAGCATACAAATGGCCTATGCTGGATAATAACTAGTTTGATACATTCCTATTAAGTTTGGTGATGATTTTTTTTTTCTTTGCTGATGTTGCATTTTTCTTAATTACTATACTTGAGTTCATATCATAATGATAAATGTGTATGAGTGTATCGTGGTGATTATAAGAGACCTATTGTTTAAAATTATGGAGGTCCTTATAAGTGTCCAGGAATGTAACAGGTAATGCTTCCAAGGACTTCCTAAATCTCTTATTCTTACATTAGGACTATAACAAGGACCTCTTGATTTCATCCTTGATTTCGAACACTGCATTCCTGTATGAAGTGTTTGAATTGAGTATTTAAGTATTGAATATTGATTACATACCACTGAATCCTGCTGGTCAACAATCATATAATGATGTTTATTACCGGTAGTCTGATTAAATATGAATGTTTTGAATTCAAGAATTAGTTTCGTCAACATTTAGTCCAAATCCAGTTACTAGGTTCTTTATGCACTGCATTCATGTGGGCTTGGATCATGATTTTTAATTGTGACATCCCTGTGGTCTGTTTGGAAGTTTTTTTACGATCAAGTTTTGAGCCACCTTCATCTTGTTATTTGTCAACAAATATACAACTGGAAATAATATTGTTATGACCTATTAATAAAGACTATTTATGAAGAATATTGTGACAGATAGGGTTTTCAAGTGGTAATCCTCTGACAGGATAAATGAAATTGTATATCTACTTCCTCTTTTTGAGCTGATGTGCATCCTCATCTATGATACAAGGTCGAGAGACATGTTGCCCTGTTTACCACTACTGATGTCACAGCCTGGCCACATGCAACACACTGGTAGTGTACTGCCTGTGGTTTGTTCTGCCATTATTTCCACAATAATAAGCTGCATATCTCCAGACAGTGACCTTTGAGAAGGTCTGACATGCACTGGAATCTGCTTCCTGGTATTGGGATTGGGCACTTGTTTCATCAATATCAGATTATGGGAGGCATGAACTGTGGAACATTCTGATGGGTTCTGATGGTCTGGGAGATTTGTGGAGATAGTGTGTGCTTAGAAGAAATGTAATGTGTATGGAATGGATCGTAGGATACTGAATGAAACTGTGACTTGCTGTATTATGTTGACCGGAGCAGATCTCAGATGTTTCAGCATGGTAAATGACGGATACCTGAACAAGAATTATTGATCTCTTGTATATTGATCGTCCAGTCCCAGGAGCATATTTTTTGGACTTGTCAGGTCATGGAAAACAAATTGCTATAATCTTTGGAATATTCTTTTCTCAGGAGTTTTTATTGTTTGGTTCAGAAGGGTCAGTCTGCTAAACGTGTTTCATGTAGACGAGAGAACTGTTTGTTTTCAGCCAAGTAGAATCACAGTGATTTATTATTGAATCAAGGAAGCCCAGAATTGAAATGTAATCCTATCTGAGGAAGCTACTTGTACTACGACCATTAATCAACTACTGTAATAACCTGTGAAACGGGCATTAAAACTTCAAGGAAATAAAGTTGAAGTAACAGAGGAATGTGAATCCAGATGTAATAAATCTGTCATCACCAGGTCTGGTTTCATCTTGTGAATGTGTCACCACACTACCCGCCATTATCAGAATCACGTAAGTTTATGTGTATGCTCATTGATGCCCATCCACTGACCTTGCCCTCTGCGTACAGCCTGATACAGAGTTCATGGGGAATCATATTGGTGATAAACCAAGGACTTAGCCCAATCTCCAGATACACACAGATACTGGGACACAGATTCACACTGGAGTTGGTTTCGTCTTGTGTTGTGGGTAAACCTTGGAAGAATCTTGGATGGAAATGTTACTTGCACACTTGTCCAGGACTTCAGATGAAAAGATCTTGTCCATGCTGAATGGTCATTTAGTGAAAATGCTAAATATCTGTTGAGGGCGTCTACCAATCCACTGCTCAGATTTGCTCAGATGTGCTCAGATTTGCTTGGAACAAAAGAACACAAGATTGCTGTTACTCAAGCTGACCAGTACAGTAAATTTCACTTTGAAACGACAATTTGAAACATGAAAGCCATACCATCAATTTGTGTTTGTGAGTTTTGGTGATCATTGTACGTGCAGACATTCTTGAGATCACATCAGCTGACCAGATTCGTAATCTTTGAGACTTTAATGACAAACCCTTGCCTGTTTTGGTGGTCAAAGTGTTGGCAGATATCCTGGAGATATACAAGTAGTGTTAGTGTACCTATCTTGTCCTGGGTTGCCCTCCCGGAAGACCCAGCAGTAGAGGATAGTTACGCCACAGTTGGGATGAATTAACACTGACATGTCTGACAGGAGACACACAATGGATGACTTCCATACCTCAGCCTTGGGACAGAACGTATATGCTTTGATTGTACAAATTGGCAGCAAGGGAACACACTGAATGTGCAAGGGTCCTAGTTGTGGAATGTTTGCTTGTAAATACAGATTTTGAAGCCAGCGTGTTGAAAGAAGTGTTTTTGCTTGTTGGCTCAATTGCTGAATGTTGAACCTTTTTGTCATACAGAGATTCATGTGAGACTTGAAACAGGAGCAGTTCCGGCCTGGGTTGACTTGCATAATGGTAATAAGAGAGGCCAATATATGACGATATGCAACAGATGTTGAAAGGATATGAAAGTTGATTATTCTCTCGTTCATGGCCATATCATAGCCGACTAGATTTGGTGGTTTTGTAGACTGAGTGCATAAATTGTTGACTCTCTGCCAAATTGTTTTCTCAGAGAGGTAATATATTTCCAGAAACAATGGATGAGGTTGTCTGAATGAAGAAGAGTTGTTTGGAAGCTGAGGTTTAGTTTGACCTCGGAAGATCATTCCAGCAAGTGGTTTCTGTGGTAGTGTTGTATGCCTTCTACTTCAGCTTCTTTAACAGGAATAACGACATGCTGGGACAGATATACATCTACTGTCCGACTAAACTGGAACCAATGCTCTCCAGGAGGATTCTGTGGAATGTTGTTGGACACATTTGCGATTATTTTTGGTAACAGAATTTATCTTTGGATGTATTTGACTGGAAAAAGAGGTTTCTGTTTGGGAGTTGCGCTTCTGTGCAAGTACTAAGTTGTGAACAGAATTCTTGATGGAATAATCAGTATCCATCATTATGAACATTGTCGGACAACAACTGTAAGATTTAGACCTTGGAAATATTCTAGGTAAAGTAAAGTCACTGAATTCATTTCAGACAAATTTTGTTCACATTTTCAAACCATTTTTCTGCATGATATGACTTTAAATAAGGCATTGATTCTACATTAAGTTACATACATCATTAACTGCTTCAAGTTTGTCTTTTATTGATTCAAATTGAAACCATTTGAAAAATCAGCTGCTGTTAGGTTCCATTTTGAGTGGAGTGATAACAGTTATTAATTGGACCAAGTATTATCAAATTTGTTTGCCTGGGTTTAGTAATATGAGCAACATATAAACTCTACTTGAGTCAAAACAAATAGTAAGGCATGTCAACAGTGCCTCAGTTTATTATAACAATGGAAAAAAAGCTCAACGTTTATGAAGGAATGTTTAGTTGAGTAAGTGTGCAATCAGGGTTTGTATTTAACAGGTCACGGTCTATGGCCATTAGGATTATGGCAACAAAGGTGGACCGTAATCACGTACAGCCGGGTTGTGTCGTTACCCGCCACAAGTAGGGTATATTCCTCTGCTTATGAGTACAGTGTTACTGACATCTAGAATTATAAGTGTGGAGGTTGCCAGTGCTCGTTAGTTTACCTGCCAGGTATGATATAGGTGTTCACAGATATAGTATCAGTGTTTCTCGAGACAGGAGGGGACGTACAGCACCCCTAGAGAGCTGGTATCAACTACCTACTCCAACAATAGCAGGTGTTGATTACATTCTGAAATGAGTTGGTTCCTGCAGGGATAGACATGGCTGAGTTATTGTTACGACTCCATGAACTGTGTACCTGTGGAGTCAGGTAGGAAGGCCGATGTGTCCACATGTACAAGGAATAATACACACTACGTGACAATTCATTAATGAACTGACCCTTGCTCACTATCTGTCAGATTTATCACCTGTCACCCCTTACTGAAGATAATGGACTCAACCAGTGTCAAAGGCTGGTGGTATGTATCGCTAGCTGTGCTATTCATAAATAAATCAAGTAATCAGACAAGTTGTTTTTGACTGGTCAGCCGGTCAGTCTACCCCTTACCTATACTGTATGTTTCACATAGCCAGGTAGGTGGCTGTTAACAGTGTAGAAATGAATGCAATGAGGCAGGTGTGAGACCAAGAGCCGTAACTCTCTGATGTTCCGCTGTCAAGTGTTTCATTGCTGTGAGTCGCTGGAGACAATTTTCCACACGTTCAGCCTGAATACTCTGGGTAGGACTACATACCTATGATCTACGAAGCATTGTGATATTGGAATTTATTCAAGCTGCTTAGCACACAGGCTTCTAGAAAAAGAAGTTTATGTCTGATAATTAAATATATCGCATCTCCATGTAGACAGTTGCGTCAATCCAGGCTTGGATTAACCTGTGAGGACAGTTTCATTTGAATTCCTGCGATGGATACAAGCAGGATTATTTTTTTTACCATCACAGATTCAGATTGGGAGTTTTGTGTGAATCCCGTTTGCCCAGGTGAATTTAGGCAAGAGAGCATTTTTCAAATGCCTATATCCATGAAGATCCATTAGTAGTTTTCATTTCTCAATGGGCAGAGAATGATAGAAAACGACAGGTCAGTTCATACATATGAAAATTCCTGTAATTTTGAACAACATCCAGAACGAAAAAAGGATCAAAGTTGTGCTGGATAAAACAATCATACTGGATGCACAATGCAGCTGCTAACAGTGATTTTATACAAAGTTTGGATCTTAAGATCCTGTTCTATGATAATGTCCGTGTGCCATGATACCAAGGGATAGAAAAACATGGCAAAAATGGACGACAGCTTTGAGATTGAGGAGGACTTATGGTCTTCCCCTCTGATGAATTATAAATCTCCATTCGAGGATTATAAGGATTTATACGACGACTATGGGGCCTCACGATCCAGCCAAATACCTGTGTTTACATTTGAACGACGTAAGTATTTTGATAAGTTCATGCAGATGTTGTTATCTTTTGAAACACTGGATCAGAGGATGTTGTTAATGTGCTCGTTTGAAGTAAAAACTGAAGATTTACTCAATATGTAACGGCATTGCACAATAAAATAGTAAATTTTTACGTTACATTAATTGGTAATTATACGGTAGCTCTCAATACTGTAATACATTCAGACATTACCCTTTTGCAAAGAGTCCTCAGTAAAGTGGTGTTGATGAATGCAATGTGATTTCACAGAATAATTACTAGTGATTATTTCCATGGCGAGGGAACTTTGATATTTTAGTTGCAATGCCAGATTCTGTCCTACTTTTCACCCATTGTAATTGTGCCATGTTTAGCTTGACACAATGTTGTACTGACATAGTGGACCCTTTAGGTATTTAATGGCAGCACCGTTACAATGATCATAGCGGCTTATTCAGAGTCTTTTTGTTCCCATTCAAATAAAGATCCATGGATCCATGCTATGAAATCTTATATAACATAGGCATACTTGTTTGTGTGATAGATTCGATCTGGTTTGGGGCGGCATACATTTGTATGGACATTAGACCTTGTAGTACTTAAATTCTACAGTGGTTTGTCTCTTTATTGAGAAGTAGTGCTGAATATGATACTTTGTATTTGTACTTCGGTCACATTTCCTGTCTACTTGACCCAGGTATTGCTGTTGTGCTGGGGATATGGGGATAGTCTTTGAAAGAAAATGTGTTTGACCTGTTTACACTGTTAAAGTGAGTGAGTATGGTTTTACGCCGCTTTTAGCAATATTCCAGCAATATCACGGCGGGGGACACCAGAAATGGGCTCCACACATTGTACCCATGTTGGCATCAAACCTGGGGCTTCGGTGTGACGAGCGAACACTTTAACCACTAGGCTACCCGACCGCCCCTCACACTGTTAAAGGGGTTTTGGTAGTGTTCTATGGTATTTGAATCTAGGGACGCCTGAAGGTTTTACTTTTAGCATTATGGTCCTGACAAGGAGGGGGCACGGGTGGCCCAGTCGTCTAAGGCGCCGCGATTTTCGCTGTGCAGAGTTGCGTCCCTTGGGCACGCCAGAAACCTATGATTGTGGGTTCGAATCCCGGTTCGACCCAATTATGTTTTTAGGTTTGTCAGCACCATACCCTTGCTCACCGAGGTGGTAAACGTCTGAGACCTGCATCACTTCGGGCTTTCCTCCCACATGTAAGCTGACACGCCGTGATGTAACTGGAATACTGTTAAAAGTGGCGTAAAACCCAACTCACTCACTCACTCACTCACTCACTCTCGACAAGGACCCCTTTCCAACACTAATTTGCTCTAAAGCATGTTGAAAGTTACGTCCAGTTTTTAAAATTAATGATCAAAACATTGGATCATTCTGAATATTTGAAAATGATACACTTAGGGATCCATGGATGAAGAGGCTACATTAAAATACTCACTGGGAGATTAGGCTGTTATTTATAGTCTCAACATTGCAGAGATACTATCTGACTTTCAGTGCTTTCACACACAAACATACAGCCGCAGATTGTAATTACCCTATGTGGGATAGCCATGAATGCTGAGAAGGCTTTTGAAGCAGATTGTGTACGAGAGAATTAGTACATAATTGTAGGCTGTGGCAGCAGTTTCTGAGAGGTTTTATACAGCTGATTAGGTGTTCATTTTGCACTCTGTACTCCCTGTAAACACCCCAAGTGCAATTGGGGTGGAATAACAACCATTACATAAGTCTAATTCGCTTAGGAAATGTTTGGGAAATCTCTGGGGGTGGGGGAAATCAGGTTTGTGCATGATAGGATTAGGAGTTAACACTTTGTTGTTCAACTCTTATGACATATTTTGTAATGTCGGGAAACAGGTCATTGCAGGATCAGTCAGTATGTTCTTTGATACACACAATGCCATTTAGAAAGTGGTCCTTGTGTAACAAATGTTATATTTGGGATTACACTTTCTGAGTAAAGTACAGATTCTCGTACTATTTGGGGTTGAGTTCGGTCCACACTGCCACCTAACTGCCAGCACACAAGGTCAGCGATTTAACCCACTCAGCCACCGAGACTTACTCTGGCAGTGTGGGTTCGAATCCCGGACGGAAATCCCGTACGGAAATCTGTACTTTACTCAGAAAGTGTTATCCCAAATATAACATTTTTTACAGTATGTTCTTGAAAATAAATTCTCGTTGTTGGCTTTTTAGTGTTTGTTGGAAAGTCAGTTTTGCTGATGTTATGAAGTTTGACCCAGTTAATGGCAGTGAGGCAATTTCAGATGGCACTGTTGACAGTGTTGACTGAAATATTGCCGGTGCAGGTATAATTCAACAGACTGTGTCAGTCTCCCTGGCTTCTGTGTATGTTCACAACAAAACAAAGTATGTATGACCCTCACTGCTGTTGTACACAGGGCAAACTGTCTGTAACTCTCTGTACTTGATACATACGTATGGATACTACTATAAGTCAGTACAGCAATGGTTGGAAAAAGATCTCAAATGCTGAAGTATGAAACAGTGTGCCTGATGAAGGCCGGGAGGCCGAAAGCTTGACTGTATATTTATGTATATATTTGAATTTCCATATGGGAATAAACCCAACAGAATATTTACTCAAATAGCATTAAGGACCAGCCAAATTTTTCATTTATTGTAGTTATTTATGCCAAATGAAGGATTAACAATACTGATGTGAAATTATTGGGTGGTCCTTTACTTCTTTTTAGCAGTATACCTGATCAATGCTTCACAATGATTGAAATTTAGTGTGAAAGTCAAGAGTGTCTTTGTCATAACCGTTATGTTAAACATTAAAATAAGCATGTCAAGGGGTCTCTTAGTTATAAATATACAGATGAAAACCTTTAAGACTGATCTGGGCCCTCAAGAACACCTTTTGTTTCTAACTGCTTCAAGTGTTAAGTCAACCATCGTTTGTCAGCAATTTTTCCATTGACCCAAAAGTTATATTGCATTGTTATGTTTTGCAAAGTCATGTTTTCTCATGAAATAATAATTATTCATTCGGCTTATTTGATGATTGGTTCTGGTTCAGTGATCACGTTTCCCCAAAACTTCAATAAATGTAAACAATTTTGGATGATCTTTACATTTCAGCTATTTAGATGTAGGAGTGACAGTTTACGTCTATGTCAGCATATGGTGATAAGAAACAGTTTGATTTCTTGATTAATTTGTGTACGTGTGAGCTGCCAGGTAACAGAGGTTTGCTTCATGTGATAGTGTGTAGTGAGTGAACTAATTGTGATACAACACTACAAGTAGGTGAATGTTTCACAGGGCTTGTTAACCCAGACCTCACTGATAACCTGGGCTACCTATTGGTGATTTATATGCACTGTTAACAGCATCGATCTCTGCCATTTCACTGATGTTTATAACAGGTTCACAACTTAGCACATATTGAGTTGGTTTTTCCAGTACTGCCAGCGTTAAAAACTATTTTTTTTTGTCCACTAGCCCTTATAATGATAACACAGCAAAACCCTTAACAATTGCAAATTCCTAATGTCCTTATGATACCTTAACTATTGGTCAGTTTGGCAAGGACTACAGGATTAGCGCCAAGTTCTAACGCTGACTGCCAGTGTTGATATTTTAGCTATTTTAGTGCGGAAATGTAAGAAGGAAATTTATTGATTTGTAATCTTGGTTTTCTTGAACCTGTTTTTATTTTGCAAGGAAAAGTAAAAATGTTTGAAAAATGGTAAGCATGAAAGTTTGAAAAAAAACTTTGAAAATCTTTCATATTGTCTCCACTCAAGGAAAATGTCTTCTGATAGTGTTCATCAAACTTCTTCCTTATGAGATAGTGTTGTAGCAACAGAGACATGTATATTGGCAATTTTGGGTTACAGATTATGAGGAATATTTGTGAAAATACTAATTATCTCTGTGTCAAGTGTTATTTAAGTCAGCTCTTTGTTCCTTGACTCCCTAAGCATTTCAAGGAAAGGAGGGTGGTCTTTAGCACATTAGCCACAACTATTATCAGGAAACAAGATACCAAACCTTCCACAGTCTTGATCTAACATGTATGATAGCTCCTCGATCATATCTGTCTCCATATAAATTCCAGGATATTATTTCTCAGTGGACCCTTGTGGTTCTGTGTTTACCAAGATTGCTTACTTTTGGCGAAATTAATGGAACAAATTCTTCAGAAGTCGTATTGTCAGAAATACATCAGCAATGTAGCAGTGTCTTTGATGTCATTTCTCATTTACAGTTTTCAGTTTTATTCATGCCAAGTCTTAAATATCTATTTATTCTTTGTATTTATTCACAATGTTTGAAACTGTTGTAATACTAGTAATAACTTGAAGATGATATGTTTTCTTTAGGGATGCTACATTGTTGGATGCAAATCTAACATAAACCTGATGCAAGTGATACTGTTATTGAGAACATCCCTTTGCTCATCTCAGCCTTCCAGTAGGTGTATAAGATACCTATGGATACTATGTTATTCACATGCCTTCCCTTGTTGGGGAGTCTGATTTAGAGAAAGACATCAGGGATAACAAAGATGGCGGGGTTTTGTTTCTATGTGTGGTAAGAGGAGCTGTTCCCTGGTACATTCCCTACAGTGTAAGGTTGCTTTCCACACCGCTGGAGAACCAATATCACAGGATCAGTTGTCCTGACACACCTGTACTCCAGCTTCAGTGAACGTTGAACACAGGGCCAGCGCAATCTGTTTGATAAATGTTCAATTGTGACAACATCTGGTGTCAGTTTCCGTCATGATGACATTATATATATTTTAATATGAAAATATTGAAAAGTACCAGTTTATTGATAATTAAAGATGCAGGCATAATATGTCGGTCTCACAGTCATATATAATTTTCCTTTCCACCCAGCCCTTACTGTAATGCTATAGCCCTAAATGAAGCAAGTCTAGATTTTCCCGCAGGTTCAGCACTTCATTTGACCATGGTTGACCATGGTGATAA